TTATTTAACTCTTCTACACTTTGGAAGATTTCAGAACAAAAACTGGAGAGGTACCGTAATGGATGTCTATATTCCCTACATAAAAGCTATTAATATTTTTCTATTTGCTTTTACTTTCTGTATTTATGATTTCCTCCTTGAACCCTTTGAAAGGTAACTACAATTAAGAGTTTGGAGCAGTGGTTAAGAGACTGATTCAGGGTCCAGCGCAGTGGCTCAAGTCCTCGCCTTGAATGTGCCAGGATCCCATATGGGCGCCGGTTCTAATCCCGGCAGCTCCACTTCCCATCCAGCTCCCTGTTTGTGGGGTAGGAAAGCAGTCGAGGACGGCCCAAGCCTTGGGACCCTGCGCCCAGGTGGGAGACCTGGAGGAAGAAGCTTCTGGCTTCAGATCAGCTCAGCACAGGCCATTACAGTTACTTGGGGAGTGAATCATCTAACGGAAGATCTTCCTCCCTGTCTCTCCTCCTCTCTCTCTATATATGACTTTGCAATGAAAATAAATAAATCTTTAAAAAAAGAAAAAAAGACTGATTTATCCTGTATCAGAGTACCTGGTTCCATTCTCGGCTGTTTCCTGTTCCAGCTTCCTAACAAACCTGGGAGACACAGACGAGAGCGCAAGTCACTGTGTTTCTACCATGCATTTAGGAGGCCTGGATTGAGTTCCTGGTCCCCAGCATCTGCCACATGGAGCCCCTGGCTGGGTAGGAATTTGGGGAATCATTCCTACAGATTCTCTCTACACACACACACATATGGATATCTCTATTTATAGATACCTTCCTGGACCCAGCACAGTAGCCTAGTGGCTAAAGTCCTCACCTTGCATGCACCAGGATCTCATATGGGCACCAGTTTGTGTCCCGGCTGCTTCACTTCCCTTCCAGCTTCCTGCTTGTGGCCTGGGAAAGCAGTAGAGAACGCTCCAAAGCCTTAGGCCCCTGCACCCACCTGGGAGCCACTTGGGCAGTGTATCAGCGGACAGAAGATCTTTATCTCTCCTCCTCTCTAAGTCTGACTTTCCAATAAAAATAAATAAATCTTTTTTAAAAATTGAACTTGTTAAAAAAAGATAACTGCCTTTCAAAGAAAAAAATGAAATAACATTTGTAAACACCTTATTCTATTTATAATTAAGCATACACTTAAGCATTTTCTGCCACATGTCAACATCATTATTGCATCACAAGTTAACATTATGTTGGTAATATAACATAGTTACTATTTAAAATTTATTAATTTCTACTATTCTTATTTAGCCTCTTCTTCCCCATTTACACACTATTCAGGATCTAGTCAAAATCCTTGCATAGCATTAAGTCTCTAGATTTTTCAGTTTGGTACAGTTGCCCATCACCCTTTTGTTCTTCACTTTTTATGATACCACCAGTTAACAGTTCAGATCAGATCTCCTGTCTTAGAACTCAAATTTCTGGATTTGTCTCATGGCTTTCCTTATGTTAAATTCCATAGTATCTTTAGCTCTTCATCCCTCAGACATAAACACATTAGTTTTTGAGATATTTCTTTTATGCTGGCACTATTCTAGATTGATGTTATTTTCTGTTTTGCTCCAGTTTGGGAACAAAATACATTCTTATGAACAACTCAAATGGTTTGAGAGGGTTGGAGTATTGTGAAACCAAGATCTGGCTGTTAGTTGTGCTCCTTGTAATTAGGATATCATTTCTACTAGGGCCTATCAAAGGACAACCAGGTGTTTGGCCTGGTGGTAAGACACTGCTTTGCAGGGCCCCCATCAGAGTGCCTGGCTTTGAGCTGCTTACCAATGATCAGCACCCTGGGGGGCAGGAGATGATAGCACAAGTCGCTCAATCCCTGCCACACATGTGGGAGACCTGAACGGAGTCTCAACCTGGCACAGCCTGGAACTGTTGCAGTCATTTGGGGAAAATAAACCAGCAGCTCAAAGATCCCTATCTCGGGCCCAGTGCCTAGTGGTTAAAGTCCTCACCTCAAACCTGCCAGGATCCCATATGGCCACCGGTTCTAATCCTTGTTGCCCTGCTTCACATCCAGCTCCCTGCCTGGACCTGGGACAGCAATTGAGGACAGCCCAAAACCTTGGTACCCTGCACCATCATGGGAAACCCGTAAGAGCTCCAGGCACCTGGCTTTGGATAATATCAGCTCCAGCCAATGAGGCCGCATAGGGAGTGAATCATTGGATGGAAGATCTTCCTCCACTGTCTCTCCTCCTCTCTACATATCTGACTTTGCAATAAAAAAATAAATCAATCTTTTTTTTTAAAAAAGATCTTTATCTCTGCTTCTCTGTCACTAAGGCTGTCAAATAAATAAAATCTAAATGCTTCTTGAAATTGATTTTTATCTGATTAAACTTCGCTGCACATTAGCAGTAAACTGGAACTGACATTTGTACTTCAACCCAGACATTTCAATATGGGATGCAGGAATGCTAAGTGGAGGCTTAAACACTGTGCCAAACATTTGCCCACCTCGATTTATATTTCAACTTTACAGTGTCAGGCTAATCTGTTTGGGTTTATAAACAATTTTGTCTTTATTTTTATACTTATTATTTTTAATAAAATTAAGTGGTGGGCCTGGCAGTGTGGTGTAGTAAGCAAGCTTTCACCTGTGGCACCAGCATCCCACCCAGGCACTGGTTCAAGTCGTTGCTGCTTTCTGGTTCAGCTTCCTTATAGATGGGGGAAGCAGAAACTAGCTCAAACCCTTGGGACCCTGCCTACATGGGAAACTGAAAGAAGTTCCTTGCTCCTAGCTCTGGAATGGCTCAGCTCTGGCTGTAGCGAACTAAACAGATGGGTGTTCTCTTTTTGGGGGTGGGACGGTGGGGAGGGACTTCTAGAAAAATACTTCTATTTAAATTTTAGTAATTCTTCAAAATCACCAAGATGTACAGAGAAGCAGCGCGCTCCTACCCACTGGTTTATTCTCCAACACTGGGTGGGGTGTGCGAGGGTGAGGAGGCAGGAACTGGGAATCCAGGTCCATGCGAGGCTGGCAAATCCAAGCCTGCTGCCTGTCACAGGGAGCATCAATAGGAAGTTGGAGTCAGCAGCAAAGCAGGGCCTGGAAACGGTCATCCCAACCAGCCCTGACCATGAGGCCAATCGCCTGCCTCATCTGCAACTGGAGTGGCCAAGCAGGCACTGCACACTGGACACAGCTTCACAGCCTGAAGCCCGGCCCCCAGGAAGTGGCCGCCTCATGGGATAACAATTAGTCTCAAAGATTTCTCAGATGGAGGTCAGATTCTTCATTTATGATTCATCAACAGAAAACCAATGGCTTAGCACTTAAATTTATGCATGCCTCTCCGTCACTTTTGGATACTCTTCTTGTGCCTTGCCTCATCCTAGTCTGAGTGAGAGCCTGGGGATCCTGTCACCTGCTAGCTGACCTGTCGTTCCCTGAAGAACTCATCTGTAACTCTGAAAACCTAAATTCCTTTGGCTCAGGGAAAGGCACACCTGGGACAGTGAGTGCACACACCCACATCTGCAGCCTCGCTCCCGCCATCATACCACACACACACACCCACACCTGTGGCCTCCCTCCCACCATCACAACACACACACTCACTCATGACCAGCAATCTAAAAAGGAAAAACAGGACAGGACCTGACTCATTGAGGGGCTTGGCCCCAGTCTGTAAGGTGTCTCGGTGTGCTGGGTGGAGGGTCCAGGGCAGAGGTGGGTCAGACCCAGAATTATGAGGGCCAAACTCCAAACTCCTCTGGCTTCTTGAAGAGCTCCGGCTCCTGGATCAACAGGTTAGACAACTCCAGTCTCACGAGTTCCTTCAGATCTGGTCTGTTCACTAGCCTGTTGAGAGCCTCCAGGACTGCAACTTGCTTGCAGGCCATCATTTTGCCCTGAGGGGTGCCCGCAGCTCAACGCCAAGAACTGGCCTCCCAGGGTCGCCAGGGTGTCATAGGGTGGCATGGGCGGGATTCATCCACTCTGCAGCAGTCAGCTCCAGGAGGGTCTTTCTCTGTAACTAAACCTTTCAAATAAAAATCATGTATTTTAAAAATCCTAGTCGTGTTTCTTTTTATTTTATACTTTGGCCAGGCTAAAACCAGAAGCCAGAAACTTGGTTTAGGTGTCCCAGTTGAGTCGCAGACACCAAATTACCTGAGCCACCACCTGCTGCCTCCCAGCATGTGCACAGAGAGGAAGCTGGAACCATGAAGAGCTGGACCTCAAGCCACTGATTTGGAATACAGCATTACAGCCCTAAGCTTACCAAATGCTCACTTCAGGGAGTCTTGCTTCCAACTACACACCCTCCATGGTATAGACACTTAGCCAGACGATACACATCTTCTGATTTTGAAACACAACTGCACAGTATAAAAGTGGTGTGGGGGCTGGCATGAGACATATTAGTCTGCCAGCTGCAGCTCTGACATCCAATATGGGCACCAGTTCAAGTCTTGGATGCTCCATTTCTGACCCTTCTCCCTGCTAATGTGTCAGGGAAAGCAGTGGAAAAAAAATCTAAGTGCTTAGGCCCTTTCACCCTCTTGGGAAAACTGGAAGAAGCCCTGGGCTCCAGGCCTTAACCTGGCTGTTACTACAACTTGGGGATGGAAAATCTCTCCCTCTCACTTATTTCTCTCTGTAACTCTAAAAAAATTTAAATTTTTTTGGTAAGATGATGTGGTACTAATATAGACATGTGTAACAATCAAAGAAAATTCAGAGTCTAGAAATAAACACACTAGCAGCAGTTGTGGCCAAGTGATTAAGGTGACAGACAAGAAATAAATCCATAATTTATGATAATAGTTTTTTTTAATTTTAATTTTTAATAAAAGTGCAAAATTATTTAACAAAAGTCTATACAACAGTTAACTCAAAATGGACGGATTAGTGTTATAAAACAACTAAAACTGTAACATTAAGGGTAAATTTTTTACAGTAGAAAATGTAAGAATGCAATTTTACAATCTTGAACAGTATATATTTTTTCTTTACATTAACCACACTGTATTATTTCAATCAAATACAAAGGCTTTTCTAACACGTCATCTAGAGACCCTTTCACCCACTGCTCTGCTTGGCAGCCAGTCTCTTGTCTCGCTCTTCAGCAATGGTGAGGCGGATTCCCTTTCCCCGGGGAAGAGAAATCCATGGTTTGTTGCCTTTGCCGATAATGAAAATGTTGGCCAGACGAGTAGCGAAGCTGTTGCCATTGGCATCCTTCACATGAACGACATCGAAAGAGCCAGGATGTCTTTCTCTGTTGGTGATCACACCAATTCTTCCCAGGTTGGCACCTCCAGTCACCATGCACAGGTTACCAATGTCAAACTTGATGAAATCAGTGATCTTGCCGGTCTCCAAATCAATCTGAATTGTGTCATTCACCTTGATGAGAGGATCAGGGTAGCGGATGGTGCGAGCATCGTGGGTCACCAGATGAGAAATGCCTTTTGTGCCCACAAGGATCTTTCTCACTTTGCACAACTTGTATTTAGCCTCCTCAGGTGTAATGCGATGAACAGCAAAACGACCCTTGGTATCATAGATCAGACGGAAATTCTCTCCGGTCTTGTCGATGCTGATGACATCCATGAAACCAGCAGGGTAGGTTACATCGGCTCGGACTTTGCCATCAATCTTAATGAACCGCTGCATGCAAATTTTCTTTACTTCATCCCCTGTTAGGGCATACTTCAGCTTATTCCTCAGGAAAATGATGAGAGGAAGACATTCTCTCAGCTTGTGGGGACCAGTGGATGGACGAGGAGCAAACACACTGGTCAACTTGTCCAGCATCCAATGCTTTGGAGCTGCTACTCGCTTCAGATGCTTCTTTGGACCACGAGCCATGGCTATACTAGAAATGGAAAGAGTGGATAGTAAATGCTTAAATGACACCATCAGTACAATGACCAATAACCTAAGAAATTACATATAATCAAAATTAAAAGCGTTTATAGGTGCAGGTGTGGTGCAGTGCAGTAGGCTAAACCACCACTTGGGCTGACCACATCCCAATCCAGCTCTTTAATAATGCTTTTCTGAGAAGCAACAAATGAAGACAAGTGTCTGGACATTTGTGACCCATGTGGAAGACTAGGATTAAGTTCCAAGCTCCTGGTTTTCTTCTTATGTTTAAATATTTATGTTTGTATGTATGTGTGTGAAAGGTGGAGGTACAGACAGACAGAAATCTTCCATCCAATGGTTCAATCCCTGAACTGCTACAACAGTCAGGGCTATGTCAGGCGATGCAAAGTGCCAGGAGCTCTGGGTCTCCCCTGTGGGTGCAGGAGCCCAAGGAACTGGATGATCTCTCACTGCTTTCCCAATTGTGCAAGCAGGGAACTGGACTGCAAGTAGAGCAGCAGGACATGAATTGGCACTGATATAGGACACTGGCATTACAGTTGGTGGCTTAAAACTTGCTAAACCACAATGCTGGCTCCCCCAGTTCATGTGTTTAGCATAACCCAGCCCTAAATACTGCAAGTATTTGGGTAATTAAATAGTAGATGTCAAGTGTGTGCTCTATTTCTCTTACTTTTTCAAATAAATAAAATAAAAACTCTCAGACCTGATGTAACAGCCTAGCAGCAGAAGTCCTCACCTTGCACATTACAGGAGCCCATATGGAAGCCGGTTCTAATCCCAGTGGCCCCTCTTCCCATTCAGCTCCCTGCTTGTGGCCTGGGAAAGCAGTCAAAAATGGCCCAAAAGCCTTGGGACACTGTGTCTGCACAAAAGACCCAGAAAAAGCTCCCGGCTCCAGACTGGCTTAGCTCCAGCTGTTGTATCTACGTGGGGGTCAATCAACTGAAGATCTTACTGCCTCTCCTCTCTCTTTATTTGCCTCCCCAATAGAAAGAAACCTTTTCTTTTAAAGATTTAATTATTTTTATTGGAAAGGCGGATATACAGACAAGAGGAGAGACAGAGAGGAAGATCCTCCGTCCTATGATTCACCCCCCAAGCAACCGCAACAGCCGGAGCCAAGCCAATCCAAAGTCAGGAACCAGGAGCTCTTCCGGGTCTCCCATGCGGGTACAGGGTCCCAAGGCTTTGGGCCATCCTCAACTGTTTTCCCAGGCCACAAGCAGGGAGCTGGATGAAAAGCAGGGCCACCAGGATTAGAGACGGTGACCATATGGGATCCCAGAGCGTGCAGGACAGGACCTTAAACACTATGCTATCGCACCGGGCCCCCAAAAGAAACATTTTTTTAAAAAAATCATTTTATTTTTATTGGGCTGCAGATTTACAGACAGAAGGAAAGAGGAAGATCTTCCATTTGCTGGTTCACTCCCCAAGTGGCCACAAGTAGGAGCTAGATGGAAAAACGAAGCAGCCAGTATACGAACTGGTACCCATATGGGATTCCAACAGTTACAAGGCAAGGATTTTAGCCACTAGGCTACTGTGACAGGCCCAAGAATCACATCTTTTTTTTTTTTTTAAGATTTATTTATTTTTATTACAAAATCAGATACACAGAGAGGAAGAGAGAGAAGACCTTCCGTTTGATGATTCACTCCCTAAGTAACTGCAATGGCCAGTGCTGAGTTCATCCAAAGCCAGGAGCCAGGAACTTTCCTCCAGGTCCCCCACGCCGGGGCAGGGTCCCAAGGCTTTGGGCCATCCTCGACTGTTTTCCCAGGCCACAAGCAGGCAGTTGGATGGCATGTAGGGCTGCCGGGATTAAAACCGGTGCCCATATGGGATCCCAGCACATTCAAGGCTAGGCCATGGCGCTGGGCTCAAGAAACACATCTTTTAAAAAAACATTTAAAAAAATAAATAAATAAAAGCTTTTGTGGCTTAAAGAATACTATTAAGATGAGCCTGGCATGGGAACCTAATGGCTAAAGTTCTCGCCCTGGATGTCTGAGATTTTATATGGGCATCTGTTCTAATCCCGCTGGGCTCACTGCTTGTGGCCTGGGAAAGCAGTCAAGAATGACCCTAAGCCTTGGGACCCTGCACATGTTTGTGAGACCCAGAAGAGGCTCTGAGTTCCTCTTGGCTTTGGACTGGTGCAGCACTGGCTGATGTGGCCACTTGGAGAGTGAATCAACGAACGATCTTCCTCTTTCTCTCTCCTCTCCTCTGTATGTCTGACTTTCCAATAAAAATAAAATAAATCTTTAAAAAAATACTACCAAGTAAAAATACTATCACCTGGACAAGGGGAGAAATATTTGCATATCATGTATCTAATATATTAGTACCCTAAATATCTAAAGAACTCTTACAATTCTCTAATAAGACAAACACCACAATTTATAAGCAAGCAAACAATCTATGTACTTGTAGGATCATAAATTGGCACGGCTATTAAAGAAAAAAATTAAAAACAGAACTACCTTATGATCCAGCAATCTCTGCTCTGGATATACTTGTATATCCAGAACAAGTAAAAGGGTCTCAAAGACACACCTGAATACACATTAATACCGAAATTATGCACAGTAACCAACCCATTTGACAATGTTGTCAAATGAATGCATAATTAAAATGTGGAAACTTGGTATTTTTTTTTTCAGAGTGAGGAAAGCATCTTGGAAAAAGATAAAGGTGGCAGTGGTAGCACAATACTGTGAATGTACTGAATGTCACCGAAAATGATTAATTTTTCATTGTGTCATATTACAGCAACAACAAAAAATTACATAAAGATTTAAAAAGCATCCATTTATCAACAGCCTATGAACTAACGTCAGTAGACCCAACAGGATTCAGTAGAAGACCAAACAAGATTCAGTAGGCTCTTTCAACTTTGTGAGGCGGATTAAATTCAAAACTTCGTGCTACTACACCAGAAGTTGCTATGTTTTAATCTTGGAAAGAAGTTATTTTTGTTTACTTGAAGCTGGTTTTTGCTTTTTTAAGATAAAACCTGCAGTAAATGCATGACAGACAAAATGTCGCTTCCTGCAGAGTACTACCAAGATGTTTTAGAGTTCTGTTCCTGGTCCCCACCCTGCTCCTCCGGAGCGCTGAGCAAACGCACCTACTCACTCCCACATCTTCCTGAACGACCAAGGGTCCTACCACTGCTGCTTCAAGATACGCTACCAAGGGGAGAAGGCTGTGTTGTGGGTTAAGCATCTCCTAATGGAGCGACTGAAGGGACACCCCTTACCAGAGTGGCCAGGTCTAGCCGGAGCCACCTTCGGGCTGGAAGGTAGTACTGTGCTGGAAGGCAGTAAGGGAAGGCCCAAACGCCCGCGCCCCAGTCACCCACCCACCCAGCCCCGGACACCCAAAAGGAGAGTTCCAGACTTCGGGTTGGCCCAGCCCAGGGAATCCGGGATCTGGGAAGTGAAATTCTCTTGCTCTTTCAAGTACATGAAAACTATTTTTAACCAAGTCCTTTCCACGTAGGCCAAGCAGCACCGACTACACCAAACAGCACCTGACTACACCAAAATAAAGACCTACGTAGTGGCCAAAATTATCAAGCTGGCCGAGGAGGTGGAACATAAGCAACGCGGGTTTCACCATGAAGTCCCACAAATGCGAGCGGCGCTAGCGACTGCGTCGGCGGCTTTCGGGGAGCGCGGGGAGCGAAGGCGTCCTAACACTCGGTCACACACTGCGGAGAGTTCCAGACCGCCCGCAGTTGGAGGCCCTGGCAGGGCGTCTCGGGGGTATCTAACCGACATACCGGCCGCGACACTCGGTCCGTCTTTCAAAGCCCGCGGAGGCGACCGAGACGGCCGGGCGACTCGAGGAGACCTGCGGCGTTTCCCGGGACGCGGGAGCGGCCGAGGTCGGAGGCTGCCGCCTCGTGGGAGCACCGCCCTAGCCTTCCTCTCCCTCGGCACCACCGGCTGCAGGGCCCGGGGCAGCGCAGGGGACGTTAGGGGGACAAGGGGTTCGCCCTCAGAACCGAACGCAGGTTCTACTCACCGGATCTCGGCGACCGAACAGCTGTGTCCTCCACGCCCGCCAAGCACGCCGCTCCGCCCCGGAAGTGCCGCCCACCAACGCTGGCTGCCGTCGCATTGGCCGCGACTTCCTCTCGCGAGAGCTGGAAGTGCCTATGTGATCTGAGTTAGGCGGAAGTCGGGCCTCTTTGCCGTGGCGCCTCGCGGGGGTCAGCCGCTTCAAGATGAAGGTAGGTTGTGTTGGTGGCCCTTCAACTGCGCTTGAGGCACATCGGGCTTCAGAATTCGGCTTTCTCGTAGTGCTAGTTCCTTCAGGATCCTGCCTCTTGTTGAGCAAGGGTCTGAGGTCGGGAAAAGCTCGTTTTCTTAGAATCGGAGCTCAGGGGGAGAGCGGATGGCGGCCGATTGCGGCTGGAGCGGCTCCGGTGCGGAGAGCGAGCGCCATGGTGGCTTCCTTGCGCCCGGCCGCGGCGCGGAGGCTGGCGTGTTTCCCGGGGCGCCCCAGACCGGCCTTGCGGCCCTTTCCCCCTCGCCGCCAAGCTCGCGTTCCTGCCCGGGGGCCGGGCGGGGGTGAACTGGAGCGGAGAGCCCGAGAAAAGGAGCCCGTGTGTGATGCGTGTGCTTCGGGGACACCGGTACCCAACATGCCCGCCGATTGCAAGGCGGCGACCGTAAGGTCTTGGACATGAATGACCGTGAGTGGTGCTATATTCGCTTCGTGGATGAATTTTCTTAAACGTTTAACTCCTGTTTGACCCGTAGCTGAATATCTCCTTCCCAGCCACTGGCTGCCAAAAGCTCATCGAAGTGGACGATGAGCGTAAACTTCGAACTTTCTATGAGAAGCGCATGGCGACTGAAGTAGCTGCCGACGCTCTGGGCGAGGAGTGGAAGGTACGTTACCAGGCTGCTGGCAGCTGATGATTGTCGGGCTTCGGCCTGGGTTCGACTCCTGGTGGGTTATTTCGGAGTGTTAGTGTAGAAAGCGAAGCTGGCTCTGGGTGGGTTGTGTGGTAGAGCAAGCTGGAGAATGCAGGGCGAGGTTGACATGAATGTGGGTTAATCCCTGTACAACGCACCGAGCGAAAAAAATCAAGTGTCCATCCTGATAGTACACACAAAGCTGTTTTCAAATAACAAGGAAGGGATTTCCTATTTTCGTTTCTTAGTTTTTTTTTGTGTGTGTGTGTGTGCTACCTCTAGCAAAATGGTAGAGGTGGTAAGCTGGAACGGAATTTGACAAGTTGGAAATTATGCCAAAATTTAACTAGGGAGGAAGACTGAGTTGCTTGCTGTGTAGTATAAATCAGTTGTAATGAATTGCTTTTTGCAGGTGAAGTGAGAGATCATTCTTAAACGTTTGTTGAATATGGGTAGTAACAGTCATGGAATGTTCCTACAGGGCTACGTGGTCCGGATCAGTGGTGGAAATGACAAACAAGGCTTCCCCATGAAACAAGGTGTCTTGACCCATGGCCGGGTTCGCCTGCTACTGAGCAAGGGGCACTCCTGTTACAGACCCAGGAGAACTGGGGAAAGAAAACGCAAATCAGTGCGGGGCTGCATTGTCGATGCCAACTTGAGTGTTCTCAACTTGGTTATAGTAAAAAAAGGTGAGAACGCTTGTTGAAATTGAACTGCCTTATTAACAGTACCCATATATTTGGCAAACAGATTTGGTTTTACTGGAGCAATTACAAATGATCAGTAGCGGATAAACATGGCAGTTGAGATTTTTGATTGTGAGGGCATCGTTGAGTTACGCAAAATTTGCTTCTCTTCTAAGGAGAGAAAGATATTCCGGGATTGACTGATACCACGGTGCCTCGTCGCCTGGGACCTAAGAGAGCAAGCAGAATTCGCAAACTTTTCAATCTCTCAAAAGAAGATGACGTGCGCCAGTATGTTGTGAGAAAGCCCCTAAACAAAGAAGGTAGGAGGGACTGTAAGATTTAAGACGTAATTGTGTCGTGGACATTTCCATATATGATCTTAAAATGGATTGTTTACACACTCTTTGAGGTATGAGTGAGATGTTAACAGGTGAGCAGATACACAGTAGGTATTGTTGATAATCAGTGCTGTAACCAGAGCTGAATTGATCCTAAGCCAGGAGGCGCCTCTGTCTCCCACACAGGTGCAGGGTCCCAAGGTTTTCTTCCATCCACTGATTTACACCTCCCTCCCCCCAAGAGCTGCAACGGCCAGGGCTGAGCCAATCTAAAGGCAAGAGCTGAGAAATGAGCCAGCACCCGTATGGGATCCTAGTACGTGGAAGGCAAGGACTTTAGTCGCTAGGCTAGTGTGCTGTGCTCCTGCTTTTGTTTTGGTGGTAAAAGTTTTGTAGCATATGTGTGGGGTTTTCATGTATTAACCACTGTCATTAAATCACATAGTCGGACAACATCAATGCAACCAGAACATTGACTTTTTTTTTTCCAATCTTGACATAATTGGGTAAAAAGGTTCAAGCACTACAGGAAGATGGGCAAGACAATTAGTTCCGTGTTGTTTCCTTAATGGGTCTGATGTAAAAGGGGAGAAGCCCCATCTAGTCTCCCACCCACCCCAGGTCCCTAATGTGGGGCGTGCTCCAAGGGTCTTGCTCAAGTGGGTTTGATAGTTCAACAGTTCTGAATTGCTGCCACTCTTACCTCCAAGCACGACCAGGTCGTTGGAGAATCCACTGATTGACATTAACCTTTTTTCTAAACTGACAGATCTGGGGGGAGAAAACCTGGGTCTTGTTTCAGGGCTGTTGTAACTTAGACTTGCCACAGGGTTTAGGCTCATTAGTTCAGAATTTCTGAATACCCACCTTTTCACTGGTGCAACAGCCTTAGGTGCCTGCATAGTTTTCACAAAACTACAATGATGGCATCTACAAGCCTTATTCCAAGCAGCTTTAAGCATATTGGTGCATGCACACAGATGATATAGGCAATGTTTTTTCCGTTTCCACATAGCAGTTCATAGATTAACTAGAAGTAATGCTGTGCTTTATTTAGTAAAGCCTAGGCATATGGCAGATGAAGTAACTGGTTGTTTTTCAGAAGGACTTTTTTCTTGTGCTTCAAGAACTATTTAGCACACCTTTTTGAGTGAAGGGAGTAATAAGGTGTGGAGTACCAATTTATGTTAAACACTTGCATATTTTATAAGAATATGTGCATGCCTGCTCAATAATGGTGTGGGTCTCAGTGACCACGTCTTTGACGGAGTTGCCTGTGTTTTCAGGTAAGAAACCTAGGACCAAAGCACCCAAGATTCAGCGTCTTGTTACACCACGAGTTCTCCAGCACAAACGCCGGCGCATTGCTCTGAAGAAACAGCGGACTAAGAAGAATAAGGAGGAGGCTGCAGAATATGCGAAACTTCTGGCCAAGAGAATGAAGGTAAGTCCCAGATGACTGGAGTGAGAGGGCAGGGCGTTAGGTTTGCTTTTGGGTTTCCATCTTCTCACCAACTAATTGTGTTTTTTTATTTTGCTTCCTTTAGGAGGCCAAAGAAAAACGCCAGGAGCAGATCGCCAAGAGACGCAGGCTGTCTTCCCTGAGAGCATCTACTTCTAAGTCAGAGTCTAGTCAAAAATAAGGTTTAAGAATAATGAATAAATAAGATTGGATTTCAGATCTCCTGTACTGACTTTTTCTTTGGCAGCATAACTAGATAGATGGAAAGAGGGGTATGTGTGTGACAGCTAGGTAGAAGTGTTGAAATCAACACTCAGAATTGAGTTTCTGTGGCATAGTAGTGGAATGGGTAACCAGGAGAAAGGGTTTCTTTTGGTGGTCAGACAAGATTATTTCAAAAAGGCGTGGATGGACCCAGTGTGGTAGCTTAGTGGCTATAGTCCTTGCCTTCCACACACTGGCATCCGTTATGGGCACCAGTTTGTGTCCTGCTTTCTATCCAGTTCCCTGCTTGTGGACTAGGAAAGCAGTGGAGGACAGCCCAAAGCCTTGGGACCCTGTACCCACATGGAGGCCTGAAGAAGCTCTTGGCTTCAGATCAGCACAGTTGCAACTATGTGGGGACTGAATCATTGGAAGGAAGATCTTCCTCTGTATATCTGATTTTCCCATAAAAAAATAAATTTAGAAAAGGCATGGACAAGTTGGGAAAATGTATATGCAGTGCATGGGAGGTAAACAAATTGTTAAAGCTATTGAGAGTAAAAAAGGGATGACGTCTCGCTTAAGTCCCACGGGTAACATCATATGCACATTTTGAAGGCCACAGCTATTGACTTAGAAAATAGAACTAAAGATCCAATACTCAAGCTCCCTCACAACCTTAGTGTGGTGGAGGATGGCCTGAATCTTTAGGCCCTTATGCATAGCCACCTTTCAAATAAATGGGAATTGAAGACCAGCCCGTATGGGCCACAGCGGAAAGGTGGGTAGTTCTCGTCCAATGATTCATTCTCCAGGTGACAGCTGGTGCTGCACTGATTGGGAGCCAGGAGCTCTTTTGGGTCTCCCACAAAGGCTTTGGGCCATCCTTGACTGCTTTCCCAGGCCACAAGCAGGGAGCTGGATGGGAAGTGGAGCTCCCGGGATTAGAATCGGCACCAGTGCATTCAAGGTGAGGACTTTAGCTGCCTGGCCACCACACTGGATCCTGTAGACATTAATAAATGTTCCAAGGTATAGCATTCAGTTACTAGAAAAATCGGCAAATGTAAGACCTCCATTACAAATGTTAGTAAACTTGGTTTACTAAGTGCTTCTGGTAGTTTGGCATGATGGCTCAATGGCTAAATCAGTGCTGGGTCCATACTGTGTGTACTTCACATCAGCTTCCTGCTTGTGGCCTGGGAAAGTAGCGGAAACCCAAAGCCTTGAGATCCTGCACCCGTGTGGGCAATCCAGAGGAGGTGCCTGGCACCTGGCTTCAGATCAACCCGGCTCCAGTATTGTTCAGGGAGTAAACCAGCAGATGGAAGAGCTTTCTGTCTTTATTGTAAATCTGCCTTTCCAATTAAAGTGATGTCTTGGAAGGATATCTCTTGAAAGAAGGTTGGTAACAAAGACAACACGCAGCAACTACAAGTTTTCATTTTATTGAGCCTCAATTTTTATATGCAAGGTCATTCAAACTTTGTCAAGTCAGTGTTAATGTATTAAACTAGTACCAAGTTGTAAATTTGCAAAAATATACTCTTGAGACAGTGCAAAAGATTCAGTTTGAAAATGAGAATTGTACATGATTTCTGTTTTCTTAGCACTTTCACAAAATCAATTATGCATAGGTAAATAAGTGATAAAGGACTGGTAACAAATAGAAAATTGTGCTGTTAAACTACCAAATGGAAACAGACCTTTTGGGTCAGTGGATTTAGTCATCTGCACAGTTAACTATAATCATGCCACGATGACTCCCCCCCACCCCCAAAACCACAGATTTGAGGCAAACTTACTGTTTCTTGATGAATGTTTTTAATGAAAGGCATGATAAATGTAAAAGGCATTGAGTGCCATGATTTTTTTAAACCTATTGGCAACATGCTCAATAAGCTTAAAAATTATGAGACTTCATTGGTTTAACCAAAAATAGTACTTATAAATGCACACTTTTACTCACAAGCATACATATCTATTATACAAAAATAAAAATGTACAGTGCAAATTTATCCACAGGTTTCAAAAAGTGACCAACAGTAAAAAAATGTCTTGAAAAGATTTCAGGCTTCCAGAAAATTTAGCATTTTAAGCATGTGCTAATCTCACAAATTATGAAGCTAATTTCGTTTCAGTGTTATGTATCTGAGTAAAATTCTCAGAAAATTAAAGTTTGGGAATATGGAAAGAAGCAATCAGATATTCAAAATAGTCAACAAAAGGTGAAGATAAAGTTGGAGGGAAGACGGCTGTCATCAGATTATCTGGTAATTGTGAGATTACTGACTACAGACAAATTTAGTAGTAGTCATTTACTTAATGGACAGTCAGATCCCTTTTTAGGTAATGTATTGCAACATGCAATCTAAGAATTTTAATAAATATACACTTAAAATATGGCTATACATCCACATACCCATACCTATACAGCCCCACACATTTACACACATACACAATTCATTGCTCTTGTAGTTATTTCATTTGCTTTGGGGTTTGGCAGCTTAACCTGCCATTTCCCAAACTCAACAGCTTAATATATAAACAAAATGCCTAGGCTGAATATGTTATTTCTTTCAAACTTACAGATACTGAGTAAATCCAAATGTGGCTTTCATCAGAGGCAGAGAACTGGGGTTGGAAATCTTCAACATGAAAGAATCCTGGAACATTTTAATATTTTATGTATTTTGAGATGATTCAATGTGAGTTACAATTTATTATATACATGGTCTCTTAAGAGTTATTTTCAGTTATCACCAATTCTTGAGATCTCAAAAAAATCTTGACTGTTCCACATTGCATTTACTGTCCCAGTACTGTGTGTCAAAATTCCAATAACTACTTAAATCAGAGGTGCTCCAAAACACTTCCTGCACCATTCCACACTAACACTTGGTGGAGCATCGATTTTCTGCAATTTTTCAAGAATCTCTGAAGACAGACTATTGTACGCAAGTCCATATTCATTGTCAAAGGCCTCTGAAAGACATGTTAAAAAATGTGGTTATAATTTGTCAGAAGTTGTGCGTTGAAAAATTATAAGAGTCAAATATTTGTTTTAGATTTATTTTTACTGGAAAGGCAAATCAGATTTACAGAGAGAAGGAGAGATAGACTGATCTGATGGTTCACTTCCAAATGGCTGCAATGGCCAGAGCTGAGCCAATCTGAAGCCAGGAGCCAGTAACTTCTTCCACCAAGTCTCCCACGTGGGTGCAGCATTCCAAGGCTATTGGCCATTCTATCCTCCACTGCTCCCTCAGGCCACAAGCAGGGAGCTGGATGGGAAGTGGAGCAGCTGAGATAAAAACTAGAATCCATACGGGATCCCAGTACTTGCAGGGTAAGAATTTTAGTCATCCCCAAATATGTATTTTAATAGCAATATTTTAAATAGTCTTTTTAAAGGCACGTAAAGCATTTACACACACCACCTACATTATTTCTGAGCTTCAATAAAAGAAAACAGTCTTTAAACTAGCAGATATTGTGGTACAGGGGGTAAAGCTGCTACTTGCAATGCCAGCATATTTTGATATCTGAGAACTAGTTTGAGCCCCAGTTCCTACAAGATCCCACTCCCTACTATTGCACCTGGAAAAGTAGTAGAAGATGGCTCCACTATGTGCACTTGTGCTACCCGTGTGAGAGGCCCAGAAGCAGTTCCAGGCTCCTGGCTTTCTGGCCATTTGGTGTCAGAGGTTTTGTCTCTCTGTCACTCTGCCTTTCACATAAAGATAAATCTTGAAAACAATGAAAAGATTTTCCTTTAATAATCCAACTTACCAATATCAATATTCTCCCTCCCAAGTGACACTAATGATAAGAAGAGGATTTCTCGATATAAGCTCCTATAAAAACAAATATATTTAAAGGTTAATGAGTAAACAGCATAAAACACACACATAGATGCAATAAAAAAAAAAAACTGGAAACAGATTAAGCCCTACAATACAATTAGCAGTAACATATCCACATTAATATTCCAGTTAACTTTTTAAAATTAAGAATTTTAAGAAAATTAATGAGTATAAACCTTTTCACCAATAAAAGCAGAAATCCAAAATGGACTGTGTAACTATCATAACTTTTAATAACATAGGTAGTGCATACTTTAATTTCTAACTGTAATTTACAAAATCAGTCATTCCTATCTTTGACACTCAAGAAAGCAACATTAATTTCTTAATAAGAGTAAACCCTTATGACTACTACAAAAGGTAGTTTTATTTAGTTTTCCAAAAGGTCACACATGATATGTGAAAAATGAACTTCATGCCTCAGGTTACCAAAGATGGAGGGGTAACAATTTACATAAGAAAGTAAGACATGATGCTGATTTGAATGGCACTTCATATACCTTTAGGAGTTTCAGAGCCTTAATACGAAATTGCTGAAGTATTATTTTCCTGTTCTGAAACGTGTTTGAAGCTCGCTACTCTTTTAATTGTGAAGGTCATTTCTACCTCAACAGTTGAGATGTTGAGTGATGCATGCACTTCATTATCAATTCTTGCCTTGTCATTTAGATTATCATCAAAGATACCAAGACTGAGGCATCTTGAAGGGGACCCTAGAGACATCAGTAACGATAGATGTAGCTGATTATGTCTCCTTTCCTGAAGTTTCCTCTGCAAAACTTCCTTACGCTGAAATGAAGATGAATATTGATCCGGATATGTTAGCTGACAACAGTACCAGGATCACTATATTTCCACATCCTTTACAGTTAGCCTCTTCTATCATTTCCCTAAATTGTTCACATTCCTAATTCCGCACATTTATATCCAACAAGAAAAGATGTGTGGCTTTCACAGAGCCTAAACAACCAAATTCAGGGTGGTTTTAAGTAAAAGCATTAACATTCTCAAAAGACACAGTAAATTCTAGACATCAATGATTTATCTCCCTAAAAATCAATATATATCATCCCACACTTTAATTATGTGCCTATGCTCCAGTGTGAATGCATATACTTGGGTAGTACTTTTTAAAAACCTCCTGATA